AGTGGTGATTTGCATCTTTTCTAAGGCTACATTTCAAGAGTGGAACATGTCTGTCACCTTCCTGCCTGGATCTGTTTGGCTGTTCTTGTCCCATAATGAGGATGATGATGATTCAGATGATAAAATATATCCAGTGCTTACTTTGTCCTAAGCACTGTTCAAAACACTTTTATGTATTTTAAAACATTTTATCTTCACAGGGAGATGGTTTCATTTAAAATGATATTTTCTTGGAGAAAAAGTAGGCTCCACAAAAGAGTGTTGTTCCAGGCAAGGGTGTTATTTGGAATATTTAACAACCAATATGGCACTGGTACCCACGAATCAGAACAGATCCCTCAACCCATCATGATGCATAAAGGTTATCTTTAAAAAAAATTAGAACAGCCATACCAGTGTGTGCTGGCTGAATATTACCCTTTGTACCAGGGAACTCTGCTAACACGGTCTCCCACAATGCTCCACTCAAGGAACAGTTGCTGGGTGGATAAACAAATGGCCATGAAGAAAGCCTTTTCCTTCCTTCCTTGCGTTTACCTGGAATCCACAACAGTTATGCACCACAAATCAGTGTTCATTCAACGACAGACTGCATATACAGTGGTGGTCTCATAAGATTATGATACCATGTTTTTACTCTACCATTTCTATGTTTAGATACACAAATACTTACCATTGTGTCACAACTGCCTACAGTATTCCTACAGTTAGCCTGTACAGATTGTAGCCTGGGAGCCATAGGCTGTACCATATGACCTAGGTGCATAGCAGGCTCTACCACCCAGGTTTGTGTAAATACACCCTATGATGTTTGCATAGTGACAAAATCACCTGATGACGCATTTCTCAGAATGTGTCCCTGTTGTTAAATGACACATGACTGGAGTGGTTCCTTTGAGTAAATGGCAGCAAAGCTCTATTAGGAGTGAAATCATTCCCATGGAGAATATTGAGCTGGGCTTTCTGGGTAGAACTCCTCTCTCTCCCCTCCCATCCCCCGGAGAAAGCTTCATCTTGTCAAAAGATAATGGTCCCTCAATTGAGGTTGTTAGCCGCCTGGTGACCTATAAATGATAGCTAAAAGCTGGAACTAATCACAGTCCGGTCAGATTGTTGCTTCACTGTGAATTAAATAACACTTAGTCCTAACTGGTTCTAGCAAGTGCCACCATTAACGTTGGAGCCTTCATTAGGAAAATAAATCTCCGTCAATGCCATGGAATGACAAGGAACTGAAAATCCTGACAGGCTAACACTTGATTTTGTTTTGCTCTTCCTTTCTCATTTTAAGGCTAGGAAAAAAAAAAATATGTCACAATTAGACCTGCATGTTACTTTAAAGCACTGTTTAAAAGGGCAGCATTCTGAAACCCATTTTGGAAACCCAACGTGGGCAGGAGGGAGCTGAGCTGTCTGGTTCTCCAGCTGCTGGCCGGGTGGTGCCCCTCCAAGTTCACCCCAGCTTGGAGGATTGTTTGTCCAAGGACTGGAGCTGACTTGTCTCACCACTGTGGAGCAGATGTTATTACAAACACAACTAGAAGGTGAGGGCACTTTCCAGAAACTGCTCATTCAGTTCAGGGAGACAGAGAGAGCCAGCACAAAGCATTAATACAACTTGACTACCATCTGGGAAACCAACAGCGACAGTGATTTCAAAGTTTAAAAACCCTCTACCGTTTAAATATTTCGTGCTAAATAGATTCCTTTGTGAGGCCAATACATTCAGTACTGTGGGCCATATGCATCTAGCCTCCGAAGGCAGATGGGAATTCCATTCAGAAGAATGCTTTGCAAAAATCTGCTTGATGTGGAATTAGCTCATAATGGAGTCAATGTTGTAAATAGATTAAGTGCCCGCCATCTTTGCAGCTGAATTTTGTGTTTGTTCAGCGCTGAATGAAAACTCCCTAATCTTTCTTAGGTTCAACATAATGGGGTCCCAAGGAAGATCAAAGGAAGGCTACTTTTCCCTTGGATATACATCCATGAAATGAAATGCCAGAGTTCATGAAGTTCAAGAAAAACACGAAAGAAACGTGTAACGTGGACTAACTGCAAACCCTAACGAGCAAGGGAACATAATGAAAAACACAGCCCCACCATATGCACGGCCTGACTCCTAACTTCAGGGGTGCGACTTAGCAGGAGATGCAGACTCCAGGTTTTTACTATTTAAATAAACTGAACAAGGGAGAAAAAAAAAATCACAATTTTTTGGGCAACTCCCTCACAGTACATTGAATGCTTCCCAGGGCAACCTGATTTTGCCAAAATTTATCTCGACTTCTTAAAAAAGGCTCTTTCAGTCCCTGACTAATATTAATGTGCTCCTTCCATGTGTTTTCACAAAATCCTTGAGCCAAACCTGTAATCCTCCCCCATCATATTTCAGCTAAGTCCTGCCCCGGTAATTATCAGAAGGAGGACCAGGGATATCCAGTTGGATTCCGATGTAGCACGGCAGCCTCGCAGATGAGGTTTCACCTGGGTCACTGGGATAAACAAAATAAATGGATGGAATCCTGTCTTTGAGGCAGCAAGAGCACGGGGCCAGGGGATTCCAGACGTCTGGAAGCCTGTGAGCTCACCCCACCTTGGTCACACGCAGCCCTGTGACTTGGGGTGTCTCCTCCCAGGGACTCCTTTTCCTTGTTTGTGACAGTGAGCATTGAACTAAATGATTTTATCCATCCCAGCATCAGTTTATGGATCTACTCCTCTATGACTCAGTTTCCTCATCTGTAAAACTGGGACAGTAACCATCAGTTAAGGTCTAAGCAAGCTGATGTGGCATTGTTATAAAGCAGTAATTTGGGTGTAGGTACAATATGGCTTGAAAGGACTGGGAGGGTATGTGTGCTTGGTGGCCTGGACCATGAATAGCTGTGACAACACCCGGTCAGCCCCACAACAGGAAGGTCTACGGGGGAGCCTGAAGTAGCACACAGGTCATCCGCCCTCTGTTCCACCGGAACAAGGCAAGTGTTCCTGCCACTGCCCCTACTCCCACACAAACCTGCATAACCGTCCGGAGTGCCAAGAGCTGACCTCTTTTCCTACCCCTGAACTTGGGTTCCTCCTTCTTTCCCTCTAGGTCTCCGGAAGGTAGAAGACATCCTTATATCTTGGCTTTGCTTTCTCCTATCTAGTGAGTCTGTGTAAAGGTGCCCTCGGTTAGAAAGAAGAGCACCTTTTCTCAGTTCTACCTTTGGAATTCGAACATCTGACTTTTACCAGTCTAATGTATCACCTGAAGCTCCCATGGACTGAGCGCCTGCTGGGTGCTGGATGTTGTGGAGACACTTTACAGCTGTGACTCTGTTGGACCCTCACCCCAATCCAGTGAGGCAGGCATTATTTCTGCCAAGTCTCCAGTGAGTCTCAGGCAGGACCCAGGATGCAAATTCCGGCCAGGCCCGCTGCTCCAAGGCACAGATCTTACAGGTGCTGGCTCTGCCCTGGAGGAGCTTGCAGGCACATAGCGGCAAGCTGAAACAAAGCACAGCCACATTTGTCAGATGACCTCGTGGCTTTACAGAAAAACAATTGCTGTGACCCTCCAGTGTTGATTTACATTCATAAATTATTATTTAAATACGCACAAATAGAAACTGTGCATAAAGTCCTCATACTGCTATTATTTTGGTACATTTCCTTATGTACATACACATGCATTTTTGTCTTTAATTTGTATTGATTTGTATTATGCTCTCTTTTCATTTCCCACACACTAGCATATTTTCCTGTAACAAAAGTAGAAAAATTGATGTTTTTTCATTCTTGTACCAATACATGGGATTTCACTATAGATTCCCTGATTCCCCTATAAGTAGACATTTAGGTTGTTTGTGATTGGTGCCATGATAAAGCACACTGTAATATACATTTTTGTACATGAACCTTTGGCTGCCTTTCTGATTATTTCCTTGGAGTTAACAGGAGTGAAATTACTGGGTCAAAGGATACAAACATCTTCAAGGTTTTTAATATATATATTTCTCCAGAAAGCATATACTAATTTGTCTACTTCTGAGATTGAAGAATCGCTGTGGGCCCAAGAAGTGTCAAGGAGAAGGTGGCATTTGAACCAGAACTTCAAGGGTGGGCAGGAGTTCCACCAGCAAAAGTGAGGGTGGCATTCAGGGAGGAGAGGTGCGTAGGGAAGGATGGACGTTGTAATCCAGCCAGAGTGGCATCTCTCATTTTTATGTATTGAGCACACCTGGAATGCTTGGATTTTTGGCAGGACATGGAAAGGAATTAAAATATTCCAAACGTGAAACAACTCAGCAACAATGCCAACATAATCACCCTTGAAGTACGATTTTGTCTAAGTGTCTAAAAGCATTATCATTTTGGTGCCAATTCTTGCTCCACTCAGTTCTATGTTGCTGTTTGAGTAGAACTATTTATGGATTTCACCAGTCTCTTTTATAGCAGGACAGTGTTCTCACATGTTCTAGAAAACATGTTGTCTTTGGTGTTGATGTGGAGTCACCTCTGCATTGCTATTGTCACTCATTCCTTGAACATCTCAGCTCTGTGTTCCTTTTGAAAGACCTTCCATCGGTGGTGTAGTACTGTGCTTAAGAGACATTAAGTGAGAGAACCTACACTGCTTGGGTTCAAATTCCAGTTCTACCATTCATTGGTTGTGTGGCCCTGCACAAGTTACTTAACATTTTCCCTTCAATTTCAACTGTAAAATGGGGTTCATAATGTTGTCTGCCTTTATAGGGTTACCTTGTCCTTAAGTGAGTTAATAAGCATAAAGCACTTAAAAAAGTGCTGTGTACAGAATAAGCACCTTTCATAAGTGTTAGTCTGCATTATTTATAATGTTACCCTCAGTTTGACACATTGGCCAAAACTGGGTAGCACACTTACAGAGGGTTTATGGCCAAGAGGTATGCCATGGTATTCTGTCCACTGAGACCAGGGGACCGGAGACTGCCTCCTCCCCAACGTGACCCACAGCGCCACCAAACAACCAGGTATAAAGATGAAACATTTTTATTTCGGTTTGTCACAGAGGTTAAAATAGCATTTCATGAGGTTTATCCATACAAAATATCATAACAATGGTTGTAGGAATAAATAAAAATCACTCTAACTATTCTGTTTTTGTAATGCACAGTTCTTTTAGCTGATTACAAATGAATATATGACATCAAGAAGCAGAAATTTTTAAATTTCATTTCAGCAATTTCTAAAAATTGAATTATAGAAATAAGGACACATAAAAAGATGATTTTTGAAATGGAACCAGCCACCTTGAAAACGTGGTCAAAACTTCAGAAAATAAAACTTTTAATACTTTAAAAGATAAGATAAAAATATTGCTTGTTGGCCTGACATTGCAGCATTGAGGCCCTCTGAGAACAGACGGGCTCACTGAAGTAGTGTAACATGCCACTGGGCTGTAGTCTCGGACACAGACAAAATCATACTTGATTTTGGTCCGCGGAGGTCAGATTCCTTATTGCTGGATGACTCTTGAAAAGAAGGTTTTGCTTGCATTATGCATTTGGCCTCACGATCTTCATTGACAAATAGTTCTGTAAAGGAACCAGAAACAATATTAAATATGTATTTATGAAGATGTGTTGGAGTTTCTCAATCTTGGCATTACTGACATTTAGAACCAGATGATTCTTTCTTGTTGGGGAGTGCCCTGTGTATTGTAGGTGTTCGAAGCGTCCCTGGCCATAGATGCCAGGAGCACCTCCCAGTTGCTGTGACCATAGTATCTCCAGACATTGACAAATGTCCTCTGATGGGCAAAATCCCCACCCCCACTTCGAGAATCACTGGTTTAAATCAATAGATTCTAAGTCAAGAGAAAGAAATAACTAGGAGGGGTGTTTTAAATGGTCAAGACAGATTATTAATATGAATTGGAATAAAAGTTTTTGAACACCTCCTGTGACATCCAATGCCCCTTCCTTGCTCTGCCTAGACTTTCCCTTCTCCACTTGGTGAATTTAACTTAGAAATGCTCCCTTCTTGGTGGAACAGTCCTCAGCAATAGGCTCCTATGGTCATTTGTTTGTGTCTCTGTAGCAGCTTGCCTGCCACAGTAATCTGCTTGTCGATATGTCTGCCTGTTCCCAGACTATGAACTGCTCATGGGTAGAAATCATGCCGTGGTCATCTCTATAACGTAATTCCTAGCTTATAGTAGATGCTCTACAAACTCTCTGAATGGAGGAATGAAGAGTCTACTTCTAGGCACACTGCCAAATCTCCCATTTGGACTCCCATTTGTGACTGGGGTGATTAAGGAAAACTTAAGGGGGAGGTTACATGTGACATGGGCCTTAAAGAATGAGTAAGATTTGATAGACAAAATGGGGGCAATGGGACATCATTGGCAAAGGCATCCAGACAGGTAAGGGCAGTGGGTGTACAGGGGCCGGGGATCCACCACCGAGTTTGGGTAGAGTACAGGGTTTGTATAATCCTATAATGAGCCCAGATTTGAGGATCCCTGAGGCTAGAGCAAGGAGTCAGGATGCAGGAGGGTTTGGAACAAGCACGTCTGACAGCAGGAAGATCAGTTGAAAACACTGGCTAAAGTCCAGACATGCACTGATCAAGGCCTGACTAATTTTTCCTACAGTTCCTGAAACCAAAGTTTTTTTCAGACCATAATGTTCTGCCTATAATTCATGAAACCCTAAGAATGTCATTCTAATCACAGGACACACTACTTTCAATTTTCCGAGCGGAAGGGGTTGCACACCACACTGCCAAGTGGGTTATTTTTCTGAACAGCAAGAAAGGCAAATGCCACATGAGATGACCAACCACGATTCACAAAAATGCCAAGACAAGAAGCCGAGGACTCCTACCGGCAAGGAGTAGAGGAGCACGGCCAGGAAGAGCAGCACGATGAGCAGGAAGAGCAGGCCGATGATGACCCACTTAAACCGGCGCCACACGATGAACTTCATTGTCTTGCACGGGTTGGTGAACCAGAGGAAGGACGTTTCCGGTCGGCTGCGGTGCAAAGAAATGGTATTACCTACCCACTCGGGAGGGACAAATATTTCACCTCAGACCAGAATACAGTTTAAGGAATACCCAATAACATGAATAAAGTCAAGAACAGATCTTATTCCCCTAGTTGGCTAAGAAAGGCTCTTTAACCTACTATGGCATCTCGAACTTTGGCTTCATGGGAAAGGAGAATGATTCAAATGCAGCCAGATCACCCACCTCTCCACCCCCACCTCCCACTATTCAGCCCAAAATTGTCAGGACAACAGCTAATCCAGCCCATTAAGCCAACTGGAGGGGGAGCTTTCCGCCTGCAGGTGTCTGGGGGCAGCAGCATCAAGAACAAAGAAGGCTTCTCACTTTGGTGGGTCCAGCTTAGGGTTCATGTTGGGTTCATCCCGCCCCTTCCCGGCTGGCCTCTCGTCGGCCTCCTTCTCATTGAGGACTTCCAATGTCATCTCCACTTTCCCCTTCAGTAAAGCAGAACAGGTTAAACACATGACATCACGTTGCACAAATATTTTTACTCCGACCCTAGCAGTATTCCCCGAGCAATGATTTTTATTCTTGTAAAACAATCTTTAGATTGCCTTAAATTTTCCTCTAGAGATTTCATCCCATTTCCTCTTCCATGTGTTCCTGAACCAGCTCTGTGTGGGAATCGGAGAGGAGAAATTGCTTTCCCTTCTCCCTGCTTCTCTGTCTCTGTCTCCCCGTCATTCTGATGTTCTCACATCAATCTCCTTACCTTCTCATGCACCTTCCTTTGTAACTCTTCTTGGACCCAGACTAATCTGAATCCTGCTAACAACAGTACCCAACATTTGTGGAGCACTGACCATAGATTCCAAGAGAGCAGGGCCTTGTGTGCTCATGCTCACCATTGTCACCTACTACGTGGAGCCCTGCACGCACTTAGTAGGTACTTCACGTCCACTAGCGCAATAGGTGAATGAGTGAGTGAATGAATGAATGTTCCTCCCTGCTAACAGGTTTCTGAGTGAGGCTCTGGGCACTGTCCAAACCTTCCATGTGAGTAATCTCGTGTAACGTTCACGACAACCCCATAAAGGTGCTATGATTGTCCTCATGTGCAGATGAGAACATTGAGGCCGAAGTGAAAGAGGTCCCGAAATTTGCCCACTTTTATAGCTGCGTTTACCCCAAGGTTGTAACTGACTTTCCAGGACCCAGGAAGGCCCACACGGTCACCAGCAACTTGAGAAGCCCTGACCCTGACACTCATTTAGGCGGCAGAGCTGAGATGACTCCTCTGCTTACGAGTCAGACAGAGCTGGGTGCCTGACATTGGCAGGTTGCTCGAACTCTCCAAGCCTGTTTTTGGAATCTATAAAATGGAGACAATGTCTACTTCATGGGGTTGTCAGCAGAACTAAATGAGATTATTTGCAAACTTCTGTATTGTGACAGAAAGCAGATCAGTGGTTTCCTGGGGCTGGGGAGGAGGGAGTGATGGGCTGCAAAGGACAAAAGGTAATTTAGGGATGATGGGAAGATACTGGATTCTGATTATGGTGGTGGTTTCATGGGCATATACATCTGTCAAAGCTCATAAAATTGTGTACCTTAAATGGGTACAGTTTTTTAATGTAAATTATACATCAAGGTTATTTTAAAAAACAAGATTATGAATGTATGACACTTGGCATATTGCTTGGTTCATGATTAGTAATAAAAAATGTTAGCTATTACTAACAATACATCATGGAGCTGGGCAGGGTGGCTCACATCCAATCCCACAGTGCTTTGGGAACCCAAGGTGGGAGGATCGCTTGAGGCTAGGAGTTTGAGAACAGCCTGGGCAACACAGTGAGACCCCATCTCTACAAAAAAATTTTAAAAATCAGCTGGGTGTAGTGGCATGAGCCTGTAGTCCCAACTTGGGAGGCTGAGGCAGGAGGATCTCTTGAGCCCAGAAGTTCAAGGTTGCAGTGAACTATGATTGTAACACTGCACTCCAGCCTGGGCAACAAAGCAAGATCCTGTTTCTGAAATACATAAATAAATAAATAAAGCATAATGGACTAGGTAGTCCTTTGTAACATGGCATGGTAACCCACATTATTGCTTCTATATCAGAATACATCTTGAGTTCATCAACTTGCTTGTAAGTAATGGCCTTCTTTTTTAACAAATGCTAGAACTTCCTGCTTCCTCTACTTTTCTTTTTTAAATGAGAACAGCTCAAACTTGTTTCTTTTTCTGTACTGAATTGTAGTGGAAGCTCAGGATAAAGTGACTTTCCTGGTAAAGCAGAGTCCTAATGAAATCCAGTGAAACCATTCGGGCTCCTAGTTTTTGACCATTCTAGGTCTTTTATCCTCCCCGAACTCCAAACACAAAGTTTTGTCTCTTGTAATCCCAAAGACAAACTGTTCCCATAACTTAAAGTCCCACCAATTTAACACTTCCTTATCTTCTCCGGAGCAAATCTACAGACAAAGGGCAAAAGGAATATGCCCCGACAAAGGGCAAAGGGCATAATGACAAAAGGAATAAGCAAACTTCAACGAGGAAGCACTCATACAGCCATCACACGGGCGCCATCCTTCTCTGCGTAGCACGGCCACCATCCTTTCATGGACTTCTGCTCAAAGAGGGAGGCCGTCTTAGCTTTAAGGGGGTCCATGGCTTTGAGGTCCGGAATCATGTCCAAATTGCATTTCTCTGATGATTTTGCTGGAATGATCGTGTGATGCAAGTCAAGCTCCAGGAAACCTAGCCAAGGAAAGAACATTAAATCCAAATAAGCTTTGAGTGCATCAGCCGTTGCTCATGAGCGAACAGAATGTTCTTGTCAGGGAAGAGATATGCAGTAATTTTTGAACAGGTGACAGGTGAGTTAGAGAAAAAAATCCTGGTAGATGTTTAAATTCTTTCCAGATAGGCAGAAGAAATAGCTGTCCACAGCTCAGCACTGCACAGACAACTACATGTTTTCTTTCTCAAAGACGTGAGCATAAACAGAGTTCTTCTGTAGACTCAAAGGGATTAAATATCTATAGACAAAATTTCCACTGAACTCAGGGACGTTGGATTTAAAAACGTGCTCCTTTTGGTTCTGAGTTGCCCTGAACAGAGAGGTCATTTGGCTTTGGGTAAAGACAACTGGCGCCTGGAACATGGGATTCTCGGTGAACGTTCACCTTCAAGTCTTTCCTGGCATGACCTCAGAGACGGGAGCTTGAGAAGAGACATAGCAACTGGACAGAAAATCCTCACCAGCAGCCACGAATCCCAGCCTCGATCGGGGTGTCTGGAGAAGCACATTTTCTCCTCTGTGGTGAGAGGCACTCACTCCTCCCGCTTTCACAGTGAGGAAAAAGTGTCTTTAGGGCGTGGGAACTCCTGAGAACCTTTTCCCTTAAGAAAATGGTGTGTGTCACATGGGGTCGAGTCTCTGGACTACGGGGACAAGAGTGTGGTTTCCGACAGGGGCAGCAAAGAGCACAGCGAGGCTGGGGCGGATTCCCTTCAAACCATCGGGCTCGGGAACTCGTTATATTTACATAGTGGATCCACAGACCACGAGTTACCTCAGCCTCTCTTGAACCTACGCCTGCTTTTGTCTTTTCTCTCCTCTTGCTGATGTGCTCACGAGCCATTTTGAGATACAGTCATTCTCTTTATTTGCTGTCAGACTATTTTGTTCGCATTCCAAGGCAAAACCCTGTACTGTTCTGGAACTTACTACCTGTGTGCCTTGCGTTCGCCTACGTGCAGGCTCATTTGTTTGTTCAGCTCTTACTGAGCACTGACTAGGTCAAACCATTGCGTGAGGTGCTTGAGGGGCAAAGGGATGAAGAAGAGACAGCGTGGGCGGCGCCTCCTCTGCCAGGAGAGGGCCCTGGGAGCAAGATGGGGACAGGGCTGCAGTGGGGGCTACTGTGACGGTGGCTGGGAGAAAACGAGGTCTGAACGGGGCAGTGGCAGAGCTCTGGGGAGTAAGAAAGTGCGTGTGTGTAATAAAGCAGACGACATCGCGAGGACTGAGCGGCCGAAGGGTGTCAGGGGAAGAGAAGACGAACCAGAGAGGATGCTGGGTGCGTTCCCCAGAGGCTCGGGAAACGGAGAGGCTGTGGACAGCAAAGAAGTTCCTGAGGAGAACAGGAATGAGGGCAGGGGAGAAATGCGGAGTCTGATGTCTGGGGCGATAAATAGGAGGCGCCAGCCAAATATAAAGATGAGAGGTTCTGGCCGGGAATTGGGAATAATGATGGCAACCGTTTCTTATGACGCTTCGTGAGGGGCTGAGAGAGGTCGGGGCACACATCCTGGCTCAGGAGTCGCACCTTCTGAGGGGGGAAGTTGGAGCTTTGCCTTCCCCTGAGGAGGGGAGAGCGGGTGAATCCCTGGGGCGGGGGTGGAGGGAGCCGGGGAGGAGCCCAAGAACCTCAGGGAAGGCCTGTATTGAAAGAGGGGGAGTTAGAAATAGAGCCGGCTGATGTGACAGGGCCAAGGCCTGGGAGAGCGGAAGCCAGGAGAGCTCAGTGCCACGGGGAGGAGCGGGCCACTGAACTGGTACCGTTAGCCCCGAGCCATGGCTGGGGGTGAGGGGGCCCAGTAACTTCTGAGAGCAGGTGAAGGAGGGGGTGGGAGTTGATTCTGAGGTGCTGAGGAGGGCGTGGGTGGTGTGGAAGTAGAGGCAGGGCTGTGGCACCCCTCTGTGGAAACAGGGTTTGAGTCCATAGAGAGACAGGAGCTGGTGCCAGACCCTCCCCCAGAGCCCTGGGAGAGGACGGAGCCCATGGAAATGGGTGGCATTCACTGTTAGGCCACACTTCCAAGAGGACAGACAGCCAAGCAGTGGGCATGTCCCCTGTCACCCTATACCAAAATCTGTAATACCAAAAAGTATTAGAGATTTAAATAATTGCTTCTAAGTTTTAATTGATTTCATTAATTTCAAGTACAGTTTCATAGAGAGTATTATCCAAATGTAAGCCTTACCTAAGTAGTCATCCAGAGTAAACTTGTCATTGTCCCATATCTGAATGATCAGTCTCGGTGGGACTCGAAATTCTGTTTGGTCAATGCTCCAGAAATGCTCCTAAAATGGAAAGAGACATGGACAAACCAAATGACCCTGATTACTGGACACTGAAACCTTCACCTTTGGCTCCTTGAAACGGCATCAAGGCCTGGGCCTTTCCTCTCCTCTGTAGCTCCCTGAACACCCCCTCCCATTGGCCCCGTCCTTCTGCTCCATGTGTATGGGGGCAGTCAGGCTCCCCAGGAAATCTCAAGGCCACCAGCTGGGTGACAAAAAGGATGTCCCAGGCTGTTCCCAAATGGAAGGTTTCCTGCCATGTTCCTATCAGTGTGACTTCCTGCGGCCACCCCGGGAGGTTGGGGAGTGATTAATCTCCTTCCTGAAGGCCACTATGGCCCACTTAGATTATCCTCCTAAAGCCAGGTGTTCTAAACCAGCTCACAGTATCACCCACTGGGGTGTTACCTCTGCCTGCCAACTCTCTCCCTATCCTACAGATGTCTGAGTATACTCTCATTTATACCGGGGTGAGGAGACTGAGGACCAGATTCTACTCTTTTATCAGTGCAGATTTAGAATGTCCTGGCATTTTTGGCTTTTGAAAAATACCATTGGCTTTTATATGCTTGTGGTCATCTAAGACCTTCAGATCCCTCACACTGGAGGTAGCTATTCCTGCCTCTGCCTGGATAATATTAGCCAACGCCAGCAAAAAGGAAATTCCCCCAATGCTTCATGAATTTGAAGGAAGATCACTGAGTTGTTTGTTCTTTTACATATTCCAGGAATGTTTTCCTTTGCAGGGCTCAGAGGACCCGGCTTTGAAGGGGTGGGAAGCCCACTCTGCTATGGCCTGTCCCTGCCTGACTGTCTTGGGTGGGGTTGTGCTCCACATACCACTCAAGGTATGGGGAGGTCCAGCCCTAGAGGTGGGTAAGCAGGAAAGGTAACTTTACCTAAAGGCCTATCTGACCCGAATTCCTCCTCCATCCGCACCCCTTTCTGCCTCACTGTCTGCCAGTGTGCGTGTCTGATGTTACAGTGAGCCTCTGTACCTCCACAAAGCCCCCTTTGATGGCATTCAGCCCACCTGGCATGAAAAAAGTGCTTACTACAGCATCAGCACTGAGTTGGGCCCGCAAAGGGTAGGGCCTGGCCCCTGGGCCACAGGGAAGGTACATTTTGATCAGGAGTGGGGAGAGGGGTGACCAGGCAGAGCTAGGGGAAGCTGATGGGATGTGGGGGATAGGAGTGGGACAGGGGACCCACAGGGGACATCTGTTATTACTATCTGTCTAGGTTCGAGGCCCCCAGATGAAAATCTGGATGAAAGCACCCAATTTTCCTCGGGGACTTCCCCTCCCTAGTGTGTGAAATTTGGGCGGGGTTGACCCCATCCCTAACTCCAGAGCCTAGCCAATCAGAGCACTGCATCCCCGGGTAACAGTGGTTGGTTCAATGATAGGCACGTGATCCCAAAGGCAGAGACAGGGAAGCCCCGTTCCAGAACTCTGGTTAGCATCCCCAGGGCTTGGTTCTTCTCCTTCTGCGGAGGGTTGCCGAGCGGACAGGATGTGAGCGGGGGCTGCTGCCCCTGCCAGGGAAGAGCCCGCCTGGGAGTGAGGCCCGAAGAGGAAGGCAGAGCAGAGCGGCAGAGAAAGTGAGACCAGTTTCTGAAGACATCACTTCAGCGTGGGATCCAGACGTCCCTGTCGCCAGCCAGCCCTGGACTTTTTAGTAATATGAACCAATAAATCACTTTTTTGGTGTAAGCCAGTTGGAGTAGAGTTCCGTAACTGAAAGTCTTACTGATTTAACACCACGAGGGCCCTGAACCCTCACGGACTGCTTCTGAAAGAGGCAAAGCAGACGCTAAGATGTAATGAGGAAGGCAAAAGAGACATTTCACCCTCTTTAACATTTTGCCTCTGTTGGGTTCTGCCTATCGTGGGAAGAAATCAGTCTCCCCATCACATACAAAACTCACTTGGGTTGCTGAACGTGTCGATACAAGACATCACTTCTACCCTTTGTCCTTCACCCCGCCACCAACAGGTAGAGAAAAGACAGTTGCGTTCCTTATTCTTCCCAATTACACAAATCCTGGTCGTAGCTGCGTGACCTTGGGCAAGTGTCAAGGTCTCAGATTCCCCCATCAGTACCAACAGGGAGTGGGACTCAGTGACCTCCAATGTCCTGAGCAGCTGTGACATTCTACAAGTTTCTAGTTAAGGAAGACCCATGACATCCACTTCCCACTGGCATATTTCAAAGCTCACTTTTTTAGCAACGACACAGAGTTGTTCAGCCGGGAGGTAGTCAAACGGGAACACAAATCTCCAGTTAAAGTTCCCTTCCCCATCCAAGGACCTGTAATGAACATCTGTTTTCTGTTTGTTTTCTTCACTGCCAGGAATCCAGCTGAAAAGCAGAGGCAAACAGACTTAGCTTCGTGTGATTGACAAGTAATCTAGCCGCAAAATTGTGCCGTGATTAGGGGAGTGAAGAGCAGGAGAATTAATGCACTTTTCTTGGGCAGCTTCCAGTTATCTACAGAGCTGGAGGTGATTTATGAAGGGGAGGTGCTCTATTGCATCCAACACAGCTTGTAGCCAAATAAAATATAATTCCTCTAAAACCAAAGCAGGAAGCCCTTTAGACTTCAGTTAACAGGGCTAAGGTGAAATTTTCTGGAAAATATCAACAACATAGCTTCTATTTTGGGTAGGTCGAAGCCCGCTGGCTATGATTTTAGTCTTCACAACTATAACTCATCAGTGTCTGTCATCACTGCTGATAGGCTCAATGAATATGAGTTAGCTCAGAATTTTAGCATTTCTTTTCCCATATTTTACTTAAGCAAACAAAAAAGGCATGAATCAAGTAATCTTACGACTTCCCTTTTTTGTTATTCTTAATTTCACTGTGATCATATTAATGAGACTGTCAAGGAAGATGTAAGCTCTTATTTGCATATGCATATCTCTGAGAATTCATTTTAGCAACAATTTAATGTCTTAACTTTTAACACTGGAAAAGCTTCTTTTGTTTGTGCCTGGCACATAGTAGACACTAAATAAATACCTGTTGAAGAAATGAATGCATGTGTGCGCCTGGAAGGAAGTTGTCAAATTTGCCTGCAACTGGGGAGACTCCTGGTTTGGAACCCGGGGGTGACTTTGATTTTCAACTGGCAAAGTGGTAGAGTGTGTGGTTCTCAACACCGAACATTAGGATCAACTGGGGAGCTTTTAAAAATATTGATGCCTGGACCCCACTGATAGAGATTCTTGGTAGGAGGCAGGACTGGCTGTGAAACTCTCTGAGCCTCATCTCCCATCTGGAAAATGAGATTGATGACACGTGCTCCGGTCACATGGTCAAAGCGAGGACAGAATGAGAGATCACGGCTTAGCAGGGGCAGAGTGGGGAGGCGGAGATCTTTAATGCGTGCTTACGATCATCTGCTATGAACCAAGTACTTAGCATGTATTATTTTATTCTTCCCAAGAACCGTGTAACTCTCTCCATCTTACAGATGATGAAACTGAGGTTCAGAGAGGATATTTTAACTTACTCGGGGTCAAGTAGCCAGTAACTGCCAGAATTAAGTATGACTTCCAAGTCAGTCTGACTCCAAAGTCCTGTTACTCAGCTACAAAGTCCTGTGACACTACAGAGACTATAAAGTCACTTGCTAATATTAAGTCTTATTATTGTATTAGTAATGATATTAATATCAATCAACTATAGTAGTTTTCCTTTTTGCTAATCAGTAAACTGACAAGATAAATTAGTTGAAAGATTCCTTTGGGCTATTAACTTCTAAACCAACTCACTGAGGAAGGTTCACATTCTCTTGGCCATGACCTTGGTGACCTTGGTGACCTCCTGACTCATCCCTGAAGTGTCACCGTCATCCTACCTCTGACCACTCACCCTCACAACCCTTCTTCTCTTTTTATGTGAGTCTTTTCACATTTAATTTTAAAAGTGAATCTTTTTACATTTAATTTTAACACAAGGTAAACAACCACTCTAGGTGTATGTGTTTGTGTGCATGTATGTGTAGCTTTGTATATGAGACAGTGCCCATGTGTGCCGATACTAATACTATACCAATACTAAGCATGGTATTTATGCATGATTCATCTTTTCACATCTAGTATTTAGATTTTAATTCCAAATTTTACATGGTACTTTAAGTTGAGCTCTATTCTTTGATTAGAGGAGTTTTCTCTCAGTCTAGCATTATTGAGTTTGTTTCCTTGATTTGAAAAAAAATGGTTATGATAGTCAAACAAATTTACATATATATAATTAGCTGGGATTAGTTTTCCTTGGGGAATGGTAATGAGATCCTGAAATAAGAAAGAATAATGAAGAACTTGATGAAACATTCCCTATTTACAGGGAACCTAAATGATGGTAATTATGTCTTTAACAAAGTTTTGATTGAAGCCCACTTAAGATCACAAGTAAAACTTTGTTCTCACTTTATGAATATGTTAAATTTCAGAAGTCTTATCTTTTATATATCCAGGAACCAAACTCAATTCATATGAAAGGGCAATAATATTAACTAGCACTGACATAATGTGTACTATCTGGTAGGCACTATCCTAAATGCTTTGAATAATTGAATCTTCTGAATATCCTTGGGAAGTAGATAGAATCGTTATCTCCATTTTACAGATGAGGAACAGTGAGCTTACAACCTTGCACACCCAGGAGGGAAAATACCAGGATTTCAACCCAGGTAGGTTGACTCCAGAGTCTGGCTTCTTAATCACTATGCTAGACTGCACTCAACATCTATGATCAAGGCATAACAAAAAACTAGCATCAACATGGAATATTTGAAATTGAATTATGCAAGTGAGAAAATAATGAACAACTATAACATTTAACATGTTGGATGCAGACACTTAGTGAATATCAGTGGAATGAATGATTTTTAAAAAAATCTGCTAGCGCATTTCCTCTTTTCCATAGACATTGGCAGCTGGTAATAAAATATGCAGAAAAAAGAAATTTTGGAAGCCTTGCTTGTGTTTCTAAGTCTAGTTATTCAAGGCATCAAAGAGAAATAAAAACAAACTACAGGCCGGGCGCGGTGGCTCACGCCTGTAATCCTAGCTCTCTGGGAGGCCGAGGCGGGCGGATTGCTCAAGGTCAGGAGTTCAAAACCAGCCTGAGCAAGAGCGAGACCCCGTCTCTACTATAATAGAAGAAATTAATTGCCAACTGATATGTATATAAAAAATTAGCCGGGCATGGTGGCGCCATGCCTGTATCCCAGCTACTTGGGAGGCTGAGGCAGAAGATCGCTGGAGCCCAGGAGTTTGAGGTTGCTGTGAGCCCAGGCTGACGCCACGGCACTCACCTTAGCCTGGACAACAAAGCGAGACTCTGTCTCAAAAAAAAAAAAAAAAAAAAAAAACAAACTACATGGCTAAAAAAATGTCAAATAGCCAATCTGCTCAACACACTATAGAAAATCTACTTTATTAAAAGAGAAATGAAGAAATATTTATTAGTTTTTATAGTCCTTAGATACCTTTGCTCACAAGCAAGGTCCATAGGGGTTTCTCTTTTTTTTTTTTTTCTGTTTCCTCCCCCTTTGCTTTCCAGGAGCTACCTAAACAGATTGCATTAATGACATCAAATAGCTTCAAATAACCAAGAATCCTATAGTGGGCACCTTCGATAATGAAAACTAATAAAGGAGAGAGTCTGTCTCATCCCCTGAGCTTGTCAAAGGCACTTGCATGCCAACCTCACCCTTTGACATAGATGTCACTCATGTCCTCTCCTGTGATGCTTTTCTCATCCAAGATAACGTCCTTGGTGTTCCAGACGATCACGCGCAGGTAGTATCTGAAAGGAGCACATTTTGAAGGTACTTTTTCTTCTAGTCCTGGACTAAGTCCCCAGCCCAGTGCATGTCATAGGGCCTCACGATTACTTACTTCTTGGCTTTCCGGGGTGTGATATTGAAAGGAGGGCCTGGTGGCCCTAAACTCTTGGGGAAAATATCCACCCACATCTGAAGTTTTCCCTAAATCATCCAAAAAAAGAAACGAGGATTGAAGATATATGATGGCTGGTAAAAACAACAATTTTCTTTCATATTTTTTATGTAAAACTATTTCTTTGGACCTGCCAATTTATTAGTCTGTATGGAAGGCAATAAGTGGAGTAGAGCATATCAAGATTAATCTTTTATCTGCAATGTCATTTAGGCCACCCACATCCAATTCTCACCCAGGGGTCTCCAATGGCTGCAAATGCCCACCTTAGTCTTCCTTGCTTAGTAAGATGAGGAGCTTCCCATCCCTAACTCAACCCCCAGCATACACACACACACACACACACACACACACACACACACACACTCTTATAATGACTTAAAATTGGGTTCTTCACCCTTGAACAGTTCTCGAGCTGTCACTCTATTCATCATCACATTGCCCACTTCATATCAGTCCCAGTTTTGTGATCCCCAAGGGTTTCTCCACTTACCTTAAGGTACAAAAACAAAGTAATGAAAATGGTGTTTAACTTTCTAAAGAAAAACTTACAACATGGTACTTTTAAAGGAGAGACTCAGACAACATCAAGAATGTTACTGTTCCTAAAGGTGAGGGTTCCATGCCATGGGTTCACTAATACCCACTACCTAGTAAGAGGCTCACAGGAAGGGGAGGGTGAAAGTTGGACAACACTTGTGCCGCCATCTTGGTGAGGACAGCTCAGCTCTCTGACTGCCAGATTGGGCCCATCCATCTGACTGAAATGTTCTTCCAGACAGGCTAGGAATGCCATTAAAAAACTATATCAACCATACAAACCAATTTATAGTCTCCAAACTTTTTTTGGATGTCTTGTAGACTCTGTCTTCAAAGAAAAACAGATTGGTCTTTAAGAAAGTTGCCAAGGAAACCACTAGATTGGCTTCCTGATGCATTGTGATCAAATGAATTAACTGGAGCTCTTGAAAAGAGATATATTGTACTATGATCCTGACTCTCTTCCAACTAATCTCTAGGGCTCTCAGTTCTACAATACATCAAGCACACTGTGGAACACTAGGCGTCCAGGTGTCTCCTAAAACCTAGCCACAGTGTGCGTTTAATACTGTAGGCAGAAGTGACAGGGCGCTGGTGGATTCCCAGGGAGAAATCTTCCTCACTTTGTCACTTGTTGAGACTCTGTGTGCAATTGAGGAGTAAGAGGAGAGAGGAGGGGAAATAGGCTCTTTGGTGGAAGAAAAGAGAATAAGAAAAGGAAGGAAGAGAAATGTGGAAGAGAATAAAGGCAAGACGCAAGTGACAAAATAATCTAGGAAGCCCAGGCCACTTGTGGCTGCTCTTGAGAGATTACTTTGTCTACACTGTTCTTGTCAGTATCAATAATATTTGCATTAGTTAGCATTCCTTAGAATGTGATCAGAATCCCTCCAAGTACTTGTTAAAATGTGATTCCTGGCCCCACCCTAGACTTAGTGGATACAAATCTCTGCAAACACATCCTGGAAATCTTCATTATAACAATCTTCCTCATAGATTCTCTTGTCACTGGCCATGTCTCATTTTGCTTCTTGGGAAACTTCTTCCCACCTTCTGGGAACAGACCCTTCCCATCATTATCCACATGGTCCCTGCTTCCCTGATGCTTTGGTCTCAGATGCGAATGCCACCTCCCCCGATGCTCAGGCCAAGCTCACTCCTCTTCCAGACCTGCATTCCCTGCTTTAGCTAGTGGCTCCATGATGACAATTGGGCCAAGTGGGGGCGAACCATCCGATAGACATTTGGAAGTAGATCAGTTACAACTGTAGCACAAAACCAATCAGGAACTGTAAGTAATATTTTGGACTCATAGGCAAGGTGATCCAAGCAACGAGGGCATTATTAAACTCTTTTTTGAGTTTATTAAATAAACTGAGTTATTCATTAAACTCGTTGAGGTTTATAATAAATCAAAGAAGAGAAACAGAATATAAGATGGGGTGTCAAGTTTGTTCTAAATCACACCGAATTCCTTCTGGGGCTCTAGTGAGTTATCGTTTAAAATTCTTGACCATGAATTCCCCTTTGGGATGAAGTAAATTTGAGTTTCATTTCTATTTCTCTAAAAAGTATCTAAGATCTAAAAGTATTCAAAACACATAGAGAAGCAAATCTGTGTCAGCTGTTGCATTGCATTTGGGGTGGTGTGGATGATGGCCTTCCAAGGAGGGAAGCCCTGTTAACCTGCGAAATGTTGGGCTGGAAGGTGCTGTGCAAATGTCGCTCGTTTCCACGTGTCAGGGACCAGCCCCTGGGTCCTGAGGAATGTAAAGGGCGCGAGCCGCCTTCAGGGCCCGCGAGGTGCTGTGCAAGATTTTGTTTGGCTTCTGTGAATGGAAAGTGGCCAGTGAAGCAGGATGGGCCCATTCGGAACAGTTTACTAAATTGCCCGGAGGTGTTTTGCAGCACTCCATGTCCCAGACTTTGCCAAAATGGAAGGCGGTGCCAATGTGCAAACTTTGGACTGGTGAAGGAATAGTTTGATAGAAGTAGCTCCTGACCAGGACTGCCCCACCCAGGCTCACCCCAACATGTGACTGCCAAAAGCTAAGGGACCAGAACACACTAGAGCATGTAACTGGGAGCAAGTCTGGATTGACTTCGTGGCAACAAGTCCTGGCCTAGTCTCTGCTTCTGCCTCTCTTGTGGCAATGAAGGCCACCAGGCTCAGCTAGAGCATAACACAGGTGGAATGACACATGTATCCATCTCTAGACCTGGCCCATAAGTCCTCCCTGGGAGGCATCCTCCATATGCTTTTCTCTTCTGGATGCAGAAAGAATTCAACCTTAGACAGCCGTGCTGAAGAATGCAACTAAAGACAGGAGGGTCCTGCACTCAAGAAAGAGGGCCACCCACGGAAGGAACAACCTATTTTGAATCAATGAGAAATAAAATTCCTTTTGGAATAAACTACTGGAATTTGGATGTTCAATTGTTATAGCAGCTAGCATCAACTATGGCATTCTAAAACATGGCCCCAAATTTCTCTGACCTTTCCCATCAAGAGAGTGGATCTGTGCATTTCACTTTGACTCTGGAGACATATTCCAACACTAAAAGTCTGGAGAAGGAAGCCGGTGTGACTTCCATGCTAGACAGAAAAGGCCATGAAGCTCCCTCCTGGTCCTCTTGGGACAGCCTCCAGTCTGGGAAGCCACCACCAGGTTAGCAGCCCAAATGACCAGAGAGTGCCCTGCTGGAGAGGCCCATGGATGTGTTCTCATTGTCAGCTGAGCCGTTGCCTGGGCTGGCCCCCAGCAGAGCTTCAGGTGACAGCCCCCAGCTGCCAACTCACTGCCAGTGCAAACACATCCTGGAAATCTTCATTATAACAATCTTCCTCATAGATTCTCTTGTCACTGGCCATGTCTCATTTTGCTACTTGGGAAACTTCTTCCCACCTCTGGGAACAGACCCTTCCTCAATTATCCACATGGTCCTGCTTCCTGATGCTTGGTCTCAGATGGCACTTTCCCGATGTCAGGCCAAGCTCACCTCACTTTCCCCAGACCCTGCCATCCTGGCTTTAGGGAGCTCAAGGAGATACTGCTGAGCCCCTTCCTGACCCACAAAATTGTGAGCAAAACAAAATGGTTGTTTCCAGTTGCTAGTTTTTAGGGTGATTTGTTATGTGACAAATAAATCAGAAAAATCCCCATGGTAATACAGCTTTTTGGGGGGTAGCTACTTGATTATTTGGGGGTACCCTAACCCACTGGACCATGTTGCTTCCGCGTTTATCTGCAATCGCTTTTGCGTCCACCCACTAGCGACATCAGCATTTCTTCATCTAATCATCCTGATATCGACTAAGTCCTTTAACATGGAAAGACAAATTATAGTTAATTACAAGGTCAAGTTGAGGATCAGGAAGCACCTTCCCTTCCTGTGTGTCTTTGCTCAGCGTTCCTGGGTTCACAGGAGTCAGCACCCTTGCAGGCCAGCCACTACCACCCCTCTGGATATCCCTGCCCCTGCAAGCTGGCAGCATACCGTAGCTCTTATGCTCCATGAAGCCTATTTCTGTCACTGTCATAGTGTGGACTAGCTGTTCATGTGTAGGACAGTTGTATTATAAATTATTGCTTGGGCACGAGTGAGGCCCAAGCCTGGGCGTGAGCCAGATGGGAACTTATGGACCCTGCAATCACCCCTAGTACCCTGAGCCTTCTCCAGAGAAGGGAATGAGAATAAACTTGGAAGAGAAATTCTTGCACCACTGTCTAAGCATTTTTGAGCTAATTGTTATTACATGGAAATTAGTGAATTATAGAACTTTTGTTCATAAGCTCATGGCTATGACCTAAAAGAGCGGTTTAAAAAAGCAGAACAAGAGAATGTGTCACTTGACACTTGACGCCAGCAACTCTACTATACGTGCCTGTTGTTAGATAAGTGTCATTTGTGCAGAGTCTCATCTGGGCGTAATTAGGGTCCTGGCTCTTCTACCCCACTCCCCTAAACCCAGCAACATAAACGGGCTATTACTCTTTGCACCAGTCTACAATCCACAGCAATGTGCTCACCAAATTCATCCAAACTGTAGTCTCGTCCCTCCATATCTGATTCTATTTTCCATCTTCGGAGAGGATGGGCTGTGGGAAGCCTTTGAATCTGGCCACATTTTGAGCAACTGTGTTGGTCTCAATTGTCTCGCCAAGTATTGACTCCAGAACTGTGAACCAACATCACACCACAGGTGCCGGAGTTACTGCAGGGCCCCACTGGTTCTTCTTGGTTTCACACACACACACACATATACTCTAGATTGTTTCCGTATAATAGTAGTAGGAATTGCTCTCCCACTTGGGATTTTGCTAGAAATCTATTTCGGAGGCCTAAAGTCATGTTATTTTGGCTCAGCAATCAGTTATTTTCATTTATTTATTTAGCCCTTGGTTTCCTCCTGTTAAAAGTGAGGAGTTTGAACTGAGATCACTGTTATTCATAATAGGAAAACCATAAAAAAGAAATTGCAAATTATACTCTCATTAAATGCTGGGGAAAGACGCCCCTGTAGCGGGCAGAGGAAGAGGGACGTCAAAAATCGATCGATTTGCGAGGGAAGGAATCCCCGCTTTTTCCCCAAGGGCAGGGGATTCCGCCATCAAACCCTGCGGCCCTCAGTCCTGACTCCAGGAGAGGCGAAGAGAGGCACGAGGGGCTGGTTCTCGCAGCTGTGACATGGCCACTCCAGGGTGTGGCACCGCTCGAGCAAGGCCATTTTACACAGAACGTGAGTAACAGGGCAATGTGTAGGGGCCCTGATTTCCTCTAGCGACAATCCTATCATTAAAATGGTACTTAGCCAGTTGAAAGGAGCAGCGGAAGAAGACACCGAGGTAGAGCACCAAACTTGCCCCAGGTGTGACTGTGCAGATGGAGCCACTGGCCCCATCGAGGGCCAGAGCAACTTACACGCAGTACTGCTTCAGGGATGCCGCAGTGGCACCCAAACCGGAAACGGAATCTGTTCTCAGGTCGATAATTGTTTCCCCACTTTTCGTCACGGGTGAGAGGTGTCGTAGTCGAACGGAAATCTTCAGGTCCTTTTCTTGAGGTAAGTAGCAGCTCGTTCGTACATTCTAAAAAACCAATGCAGGTTAGAAGCTCCACGACCGTCCGGGTCCCTCACAAAGCTGGGGCTCCGGCAAGTGCTACAGGCACGCCGTGGCTATTGGAAGAGAACATCTGACGGATATACGGGTGAGTGGCGGTGCATGGGGAACTCCACAAATAGCACAGAACAGTAAGAGATACTTGCTTGCTCAGGAGAGATTGCGGGCTTTTAAAACCTAGGTTCGAATCCACTCTGTGCCTTGCTAGCTGTGGGACTCTAGGCCAGTTATTTAACTTCTCTGTGTCAGTTTTCTCATCTGTAAAATGGTGTTATAATGCCTGCCATCCAGTGGTTGTCATAAGGGTCGAGTGAAGAATGTTTAGAAAGCACTTGGCATGAGTGCGTTTCTCAACCACCACATATAGTAACAGTAATGTGTTGATTAATAACATCATCAAACTTTATGATTCCCACGTGCCTATTTACTGGTCCCTGAGCATCTGTCTCTACCCGGCTGGGAGATTAGCAAGGCACAGCAACCCTGGTTTACAGTCCCCTGTCTGCCCTACTCTGTTCCTCCTCTGCCCCAACAGGGACCACTGTGCCACAGTGCTCCTTTGACTCAACTGCGCAGGGGAACAGGGCAGGGCTGTGAGTGGAATTCACCATGCGGTGTGGTGTGCAGGGTGCCGAAGGTTCCTCTCCTCCGACCTCTGGTTCTATCCACTGGCTTTGGTTCCTTAAGACTTTTCTATAGAAACTGCCTTAAAATGTAACCCTTCTGAGACAAAGATCAATCAACAGTACTCTTTGCGGCAGGTGAGGACTGTGATCCAGAGGGGTGCATGGTGCATGGCATGCGCCCCAGATGGTGCTGGAGTCTGCACCTGCACTGTCTGCAGAGTTATTTACTCCAGCAGAAGGTGCCTCAGTACCGTTTGTTGAAGAGAAACTCCGAGAAGCCTCCTTCTCCTGTGTTCCTTTCTCCTCCCTGCAACTCGGTGTGATGGACTGGTCCTGGCCCAAAGAGCCAGGAACGTATGGCCGGCCGCTTGAACAGAAGGTGGTGTGTCCATAACGGCTCTGGAGAAAGCTTTCCGAGATGTTTCTGACAACCCTAGACGCAACTTCTCCAGACGTGGCTGAGGCCCTGCAGGAGCAGGCCGCCACACGGAAAAGGTGCCTTGGTATCCATGAGCACACAGGAAGCGCCGCACTCTACGCCCCAGTGTCCAATTTCCAATACCAGGTTCAAGGGACAGGCCAATATGTGTCCTCTGCAGAAAAGAATCTTTGATTCAAATAAGTTGAGAACCCTCTTTTGGAGTTCCTGTAGACAAACTAAAAGCTCTGAGAAGTCCTCAATTAATAATCTTTTAAATCCAGGTGTCTTGGTTTGACCTAAAAGGAGTTGACATGTTTTGTTTTTTTTCTTTGGAACATTAAATTAATATCTTCAGAGAAGACACTGATCTCTTTTTTTTTTTTTCTTTGAATGTGGTTTTGGACAATGCCTATGATGCAACAGGAATATGCTGCCTGACAGCCAAGCACATAGGAAAGGTTGCCTTTCCCCCTGAATTCCTGTCCCAGAGTCCCCAGGAATCTCTGCTGAAAGAAAAGCCACCCCCTAGATGGAGGCCGTGGCGGCTGAGCCGGCTTAGGGAAGTCTCCGCACCCGCCATTGGCTGAAGAAGCGCCTAACAGGATCACTTCCTTCCAGGGTGGCCCAAGCAAGACTTTCCTGCCCCATAATTAAGCTTGTTGGGGGGGCCCCTTTTGGGGGGCCTTTTTTTTTTTCCCCCTCTTTTTGGGAGAACCCCCCCCCAAAAAAAAAGGCGGAACTTTTTCAAAAAAAAAAAAAAAGAAACCAAGGGCCCGCCCCCCCCCCTTCTTTCCCCCCTTTTTCCCCCCCAAAAGCCCCTGGGGCTTTTTTTTTTTTTTGGCCTTTTGGGGGGCCCTTCCCCGGGGACTCCCCGCCCAAAAAAACCGGAAAAAGGCCCTCCCTTTCCCCCCATTGCCCCATTGGCCGGGGGTTTTTGGGCCCCTTTTTTTTTTTTTTTTTTTTTTTTTTTCCCCCTTTTTTTGGGGGGTTTTTTCCTAAGAAACCCCCAAAGGGGCTTTTTTTTGGATTTTTCCCAAAAAGTGGAAAGAAAAGGGAAAAAAAAAAAAAATGAAAAAATACCAAAACCAAAAATTTGCCCTTTGTTGGCCCCCAAAAGAGGATTTTTAATTCCAACCTCCAACCCTGGCCCCCCCCTTTTTCGGCCAAAAAAAAAAAACGCGGGCCCAGGGGGGGGCCGCAACGGCCCACAAAAAAAAGCCGGGGGGGAGGCGGGGGGGGGAAAGCCGTTTGGGGGGGTTTTTGCAAAAAACGCGGGGTTTTTGGGCCCCGCAAAAAAAAAAAAAGCGGTTTGGGTTTTTGGGGGGGCGGTCCCCCCCTTTTGGGTTTGGGGGGGGTGCAAAAAAAAAAAAAAAAAAAACCGTGCCGTTTTTTTTACCCAAAGGTTTGGTTTGGGGTTTTTGGGTGGGGGAAAAAACGTGGGAAAGGAAAAGACCCCTTTTTTTTTTTTTGGGAAAAGTTGGAATTTTTGGGGAACCCCGTTGGCGTGGGCGTTTTGGTGGGTTGCCAGTGGGGCCCCGTTTTGGGGGGAAGACCCAAACACCCGAGGAAAAAAAAGGAAGCGAGTGGCAAAAAAAAGTTGTTTTTTTTGGTTTAAAAAGGGGGGCCCAAACCAAAACCCCCAAACCAAAAACCCCCAAACCCGAAAAGTAAAGAAAAAAAAGAAAAAAAAAGAGTTGGGCAACAAGGCAAGATTTAAAAAATTTTTAAAAAAGCCAAGAAAAATTAAAAAAAAACCACCAGGCCAAAAAAAAACAGCAAAAGACAAAAGAAAAGCCCAAAAAAAAAAACAAAGTATTCCCTTTCCAAAAAAAAGGCAAAAGGTTTTTTTTTCTTGGGGGGGGGAAATTTAAAACCACCATTTTTTCCACAAAAAAACCCGTCTTTTGAAAAAACCAAAGAAAAAAATATTTCTTTCTACAGCTTTTGAAAAATGGGCTTTTTTTTTTGGCCCCAACCCAAAATAAAAACCCCGAAAAAACATCCCCCAACCAAGGGGGGGGAAAATTTTGGGGGGGAAAAAGGCCAGGGGCCTTTGGAAAAAAATCCAAAAGGAAAAAAATTTTTCCCTAAACCTTTAAAATCCTTTGGGGGGTTTTTTTTTTTCCCCTTTTTTAACCACCTAGCCCAACCTCCTTTTGTTTCCTGGCAGGGAGCTTTTTTTTTTCCGGAGCCCCTTTCCTTTTTTTTGGTTCCCCTCCCCCCGGTGGAAGCACTTGGGGCTTTTTTTGGGTTCCCCGCTCCTTTTTTTTGGTGGGGGGCCCTTGCCCCCCGGCCGTTGGGGGGGGGGAAAAAATTTGGAAAAAAGTCCCCAGGGCCATGGGGCAAAAAACAAGCCAGAAGAGCGCCCTTTTGCAAAATGGAGCCCCACACAAGGCCCCGGGGCCCCCCAGGGGGGGGCCCTGGGTTTTTTTTTTTTTTTTTCGGGGGATTTCCCCCTTTCTTCCCCCGCCCTTTTTTAAAAGCCACAGGGGGAAAAAAACATCCAGGCAACTTTTGATTTCCCTTTTTTCCTTTTTCCCTTTTGGTGGGGGGCCTCAGTTTTTTTTTTTTCCCCCTTCCCCCTTTTGGGTTTTGGGTTAAAAAAAGTTTTAAGGGGATTTTTTTTTAAAAACCAAAAGAAAAAAAGGAATTTTTTTTTTTTTTTTTTTGGGGGGAAGATTGTTTTTTTTTTTTGGGTTATAAATTTAGCCTCAAAGCCCCTTTTCAAAAAATGCCCTTGCACAACAAACTTAAGTTTGCCTTTTTTTTTTTTTTTCAGCAAACCCATTTTTTTTAGCTTTAAAAAATTTTTTAAAATTTAAATGGTTGGAAAACTGTTTTTTTTTTCTTTAAGCTTTTTTGAAAAATGGCCCCAACAGTTTCCCCCCCTTGGTTTTTTTTTTTTTTTAAAAAAGAGAACCCTTAACGTGGATTTTTTTTTTTTTTTTTTTTTTTTTGGTCCCAAAACCTTTTGGGGAAAAGATTTTTTTGGGCCCCCCTCCCCCCTTTTTTGCCCTTTTTGAAGATTAAAAAAAAATTATCCAACCAGTTTCCCCCCAGAAAACAAAAGTTTTTCCCCCCGGGAGGGTTTTTTTTTTTTTTGGGGGGTTTGGAAAACGATGAAAAAAAAAAGTGGGGGAAAAAAAAAATTGCCCAAATTTTTTGGGGAAAAAGGATTTCCCTTTCTGGGAAAAAACCAGGAAAAAAAAGACCAGGTGGGGGGAAGTGGGGAAAAACCAATTTTTTTTTGGGGGCCCCCCCCTTGTTTTTCCCCCAACCTTTTTTTCTGCCCGGGGCCTTTCCCCCCCCCTTTTTGGGGAAATTTTTTTGGTTAAAAAAAAAAAAAAAAACAAAAGAACTTTTTTTTTTTAAATTGGTTTAACAACTTTTTGTTTTTTTTTACTTTTTTGGGATTAAAAAATGGGGTGGAAAAATTTCCCAAAAAAACATCCCCAGAAAAAAAAAACAAGGACCCCCACAACGGGATTTTTCAAAAGGAAAACCATGGGAAAAAAAAAAAAAAAAAAGGAGGCCCAAGCCAAATTGGGGCACATTGGGCCCCCCAAGGAAAAAAAAAAAAGGTCCCACCAAAAAACCCCCCTTTTGGGCCTGGGTTCCCTTTTTTTTTTTGGGTTTTTTGGTGGGGGGAAAAGAAAAACCCCAACAAAGTTTTTTTTTTTATCAAGGGTTCCCCCTGGGTTTGCCCAAGGGGGGTTGAAAAATAAAACCGCTTGGGGTTTCCCCCCCCCCCCCTTCCCCCCTGCCAAAGGGGTCGCAAAAAGGGGGCAAAAATTCTTCCCCCCTTTTTTCCCCCCCAAGAAAGGAAAGGCCCTTTTTTTTCCCCCCCCTTCGGGGTTCAACTTTTTTTTTTTTAAACCTTTTAAAAAAAAAAAAAAAACCCACAGCCCCCGCTTTTTTTTTTTTCCACTCCAAAAAAAAAATTTGGAAAAAATTCCCCCCCCCTTTTTTTTTTTTTATTTTTTTGGTTTTTGCCCAAAATTTTTTTAACCTAAATTTTTTTTTATTTTGGCCCTTGGCCCTTTTTTCCCCCTTTGGGGAAAACTTGGGGCATGGTTTTTTTTTTTGGTTTTTTTTTTTAGCGAATCCATGAACCACGGGTTGGGGTTTCCCCCAAAGACCAAAAGCCTAGACACCAAATGGAAAACGGGGGGCCCCAAAACAGAAAACATGAAAACCAATCCTTTTTCCTCGCAAACGTTTTTTTTCCCCCCCCGTTTGGGGAAAAAAAAAAAATCGGATTTTTGGGACCAAAAGAAAAAAAACAATTCCCACCGAAACTGGCCCAAAAAACAATCACCCTGGCCCCCCCAAAAAAAAGACCCCGGGGTTTTTTTGGGAAAAAAAAAAAGGAAAAGGGGTTTTTTTTTTTTTTTTTTTTTTGTTTTGGGGGGGGAAAAAAATGGTAAAAAAGTGGG